TTAGGCGGGTTTAGGTATCTGTGGCTGCAGATACCTAAACCCTAAACCCTAAACTTAATTTAGAGAACTTCTCAGCAGGAGCTGGAGCTCGAGGACTGCAGAAGCCATTTTCAGAGAATCCAAAGCCCCCGAATTCGAGAATAGACCTTGGGTGCTGCCCCCATACAGTAACGTACCCTAAACCCTAAACCCTAAACCCTAAACCCTCTAGTAAGGGTACAATTACAATGAAGGGCTTAATATGTCAATATTGGGAATACTATTGAACTGTTACTGCGTGGTGGGCAGTATCCAAAATATACCCCTGGTTCATAACGTATACTCCTTAGTTGAGGGATACACCTCGGTTTTCAAGTAGCACCCCTCATTGCGGAACATACCTATAATAATGTATAGTGTCAAAGATGCCGTGCTTGAAGGGTCATGGAGCTCAGTAAGCAAGGATATGAGAGTTTAGGGTTTAGCTTTGCTGTGCACTCTGGCCCCTAAACCCTAAGCCCTAAACCGTTGGCGTCTTGCCAAGGTCCTCTCCGTTCCAATCGGGCTGCGGGTTTGTGTTCCAGCGAGTACGGCCAGCTTCTCCAAAAGCCATGTCGATAGTCTGCAGCACCGTCTTCCTATGGTTTCAAGCGGACATCTGCATCGAAGAAAAGACAGGGTTGCAGATCTTGACCCCGAAGCAAGCGTCTGCGCTGAAAAGACATGGCGGCACATTATCCACCTGCATCTGCTGCTTCCAGGACTTCTCAACTGCCAGTCTACGGGGATCCGCGCACGGGCGTGAAGCTGAGACGCTATGTGGGGGTTTCCGAAAATAGGGGTACCTTATTCTGGGGTCCTTATAATAGGGATCCTACTATTTAGGGTGCTATATTAGGGTGCCCTATTTTTGGAAACCCCCATGTCCTCGTGATGGACAAGCTCGGTGCATTCATTTTGAACCGTTCGCTTCCGGGAACCTTCTTTGAGTCGTGATCCAACACGACAACCAGGTTTGGTGCTGTCGGGTCACGACGGCCCTGTTTCGTATTGATTTTGACCAGCACGTCAAGCAGATCAGAGATCTACACGATGCTGCGACCTGCTATTCTAGCTAGCACACGAGCTGGCTTTGGTGTTTAATAGGTTCTGGCTTGGGTGTTCAGGGACGAATATGGAAACATCCCATGACAAGAAGCTTGGGTCAAAACTCGCGTGTACGAACCTCGACTGCCATCTAAAAAATGTGTAGTCTTGCCGCTACCGTTTCACGAACTCACATAGCAGGTACCTCTATAGCTTCGCGAGGCCTAGTTCGGGAAGTGCCGTGCCCACCGCCCACCCCCCGCCGGTTTAGGGTTTAGGGTTTTTGGTTTAGGGTTTAGGGTTCAGCCAAGACCTATCCTCTGGACCCCCAGCCCCGAAGCGCTGTTGGCGGAGACTAGAAACCTGTCAGTACTCTTGACCCGTCTAAGCTGTCTATGGTTCAAGGAATACTTTTTAAAGCAGAAAAGCCCAAACGGTGTCAAGAAAGCCTCACACCAGAAACAAGAATCGGCTCTAAAACACTTTCGGAGAACCACAAACCCTAAATGTAGGGACCTTAATAATTAGAATAGGGTTTTGGGGGTGTATTATACTACAATTATAATAATGACCCCTCCCCCCCCGCAAAAAAAAACAGTATTGGTAATTATTTAGGCCCCTATGTTAAGCCCTAAACCGGTCGGGCCTTCTCGACTTCGCTTTCCCCCTTCCTGTCGCACCGGGAAGGCTTTGGAGTCGAGGCTTTCAGGGGACTGTCGGGTTTAGGGCGTAGGGTTCCGGGCTCAGGGCTCCGGGATTAGGGTAATTTGAGGTATAGGGTTAGGGTGTAGGTTTAGGGCTGGGGTTTAGGGTTAGGGTAATTTGGGGTTTTGGGTTTTGGGTTTAGGGTTCAGGGATTAGAGTAATTTAAGCTATAGGGTTAGGGTTTAGGGTTAGGGTAATTTGGGGTTTGGGGTTTAGGGTTTAGGGTTCAGGGTTTAGGGTAATTTAAGCTATAGGGTTAGGGTTTAGGTTTAGGGCTGGGGTTTAGGGTTAGGGTAATTTGGGGTTTAGGGTTTAGGGTTTAGGGTTCAGGGTTTAGGGTAATTTAAGCTATAGGGTTAGGGTTTAGGTTTAGGGCTGGGGTTTAGGGTTTAGGGTAATTTGGGGTTTTGAGTTCAGGGTTTAGAGTAGTTGATGGTTTAGGGTTCAGTGTTCAGGGTAATTTAGGGTGTTAGGGTAATTTAGGGTTGAGGGTTTGGGTCTTACACACTATATGGGTAGTTCTCTAAACGAGTGTCCCTTTCAGGGTCCTTGTCATACAAGGGTGCCGCACTTTATTCAAGCTTTCAGAACTGCCCGTAAATTGTGGCATAGCAATGATGTCGGTGAAGCTTAGATGCTTTTTGAAAAGGCGTGCAGTATGCGGTGTATAGTACACAGGCCTAAAAAAACAAAACCCTCAGACCCCCAAACCCTAAACCCTGAACCCTGAGCCTCAAACCATTACTAAACACAACACCTCCGGAAACCATCCCGGAGAAGGTAGACGCCATAAACCACAAACTTTCCTAAATCTTGAAACCCTATACCCCTCTCAGCCCCATGGTTTAGGCTTTAGGGTCTAGGGTTAAAACTCCAGAAAGTTGGAACCTGGGTCAAGGATGATTTGTGCTAGGATCCCCTATACTTTATTCAAGGGCATGAGGACTATACTGCTCCAACCTTATGGCTTCTACTATTCACCTCTTAGCGCATAAGCCCTATAAGCCCTACACTACAACCTAAACCCGCCTCTTCGTCCTGTCCGACGCACGCTGCGAGACGAGCTCTTTGGCCTTGCAACAACTTAAGGGCTCTATACGGTTTAGGGTCTATAGGGTTCAACCTTTCGGGTTTAGGGTCTACTTGTACTTTGGAGGTTCATGGGTCGATATGGGTGGGGTTACAAATAGGCAGCCATGATTTTGCAGCCCATATCAGGGGACGTATAACCCCATGTATAACTACCCATGAACCTCCAAGTAAGGTTTGGGGTTAGGGTTCAGGGACTGGGGTTCAGGGCCAAAGGGCTTAAGGGTGATACTACTGTTGATGGGATAGATCCAGATTACCTTAAGGACCCTAAACTATGGAAATTATGGTATAATTCTTATTAAGGGTAATGCAGGATTTCTATCATCAACAGTAGTCCTTAGGGTTTAGGGCTCATGATAAATTAGGGTTTGAGGGCTGGCAGGGTATAGTCAAGGCAAGGGCTTACACGAAGCTCTCGAACTTAACGTTTAGGATTTGGGGTTTGGGGCTTGTAACTTTTGCAGCCGCTGATGAAATCTCTGTGGAATCCTTTGTGAAGGTCGTATTGAATCACGGCTGGATTGATGCTGGTTCGTATTGCCTCGAACTCTTTGTGGAATCATTCGTAAAGGTCGTACTGTATCACGGCCGGTATGATACTGGTTCGCATTGCCATGACTATTCGTATCCGTGCCAGCAACGCTGGTGGCGCAATCCTTGAGAGGAAGACGATGTCAGGATCTTAAGGGCAGGAAGTTAAGGCTTTTGGGGGGTGTAGGGTTTAGGGTTTAGGGTTGGGTTTAGGGTTTAAGTCGTGATGCAAAATCTAGGAGGGAGCACCGTCGTTGTCCTTGCGGAAGCAAGCAGGGCTCTCCGGCTAAGGGTGCTGACAACTTTGTGGATTGTACGGTTTAGGGTTTAGGGTTGTCTGCGAGAGGAGAAGATAACGATCAGCAGCCCTGCGTACCAAACTGGGCTGCTGCCATTAGGATTTCCTCTTCCAGACACACCTCCCCTGCACCCCTAAACCCCAAGGCCCCAAACTGAACCTAAAACGCCAACATATAGCCCTAAACCCTAAACCCAAACCCTTGTAGCACCCTTAAAATCGTCACCCTTCAAGGAACCTTCTTCAAATCAATCATCCCTACAGCCGCTCTACTTCAGGAGTCTGAATAGTTAGCAGCACTATTTTTCTGGTTTCCCTATCATGAATATATAGCCCAGGGGGTCCAAGTACCCAGATAGTAGGGTTTTAGGTCCCAAATTCCATATCCTGTATGGTTTTTGGCACCTGAAACCCTACTGTTCGAGTACTTGGACCCTTCGGGTAGGTTTAAATGAGCAAGGCCCCCTAAACCCTAAACCCTAAACCCTAAAGCCCAGGGCCTTCTTCCAGGCTTGTCGCTCGCCTGGGCTTTGGAAGACGTCCGACAGAGGTCTCCGCTTCTGGATTGTTTAGGGTTTAGGGTTTAGGGTTTAGGGCTCAGGGTGATACTCTTGCTTACTTGGAGGTTCATGGGTAGTTGTAAGTGGGGTTATAAGTCGCGCAACTGTATTTATAACCCATATTGGGGGAGTTATAACGCCATTTATAACTACCCATGCACCTCCAAGTAGGCTTCCTTACCATGGCCATCGTATAATATGACGCCATAACGTGCCCCAAAGCACTTTTTGCTCCGTCAGTACCCTTGATTACGGTTTCAGGAACATAGACTCGAAGTGAGTACGAGTTTTGGGTGTGTGGTTTCTGGCTTGAACGAAAAACAGACGAAAATGCCGTGGGTTATCATGAGTATAATTTTGGGGTGTCCTGACTAGCCCGGGCATCCTTCTAGCGTACCAACCGCGGAAGGAAGTCTTTCAGACCACCCAGAGGTGCTTGGGGATCATAGGGTCAGGTGGCCCAAACCCGTAACACAAAGACCCGCAACTACGAAGCCGGCTCCCTAATCTAGGGGCATCAGCTACGAAGCCGGCTCCCTAATCTAGGGGCATTAATGAGAATAGGGCTTTGGGGCACAGTATGCTAATGTGAAGGAAGCCTAAGAACTAGCATAATTCGCGACTTCTACATTGCATGAAGCCGTATAAACAAAACTACGTGTCCATAAACCCTATAAAACCCTGAGAAAGCCTTTAAAGCACTGTAAATAACCCTAAACCCTAAACCCACTAGACCCCGAGGTTCCGGCGTTCCAGAGCTTCGCCGAAGACCTTGGCGATGGCGTTCACGCGAGGATTGTCCTCCTGGAAAGGGCTTGGACATTTGGATTAAATGTAGGGGCCTTAATAGTTAGAATAGGGTTTTGGGGGGGTTCCTTATTAGAACTATATATATATATATATATAGTATGATATTCTAAGAGTTAGTAAGGCCCGTATATGAAGGGATGCCGGAACACCGACAGGGCCAAAAGCTTCAACTCAGTAACATTCTGTGCTACACTGACACCAGTCAAAGGTCTTCAAGTACAAAATTCAACACGCAGATTGAAGGTGGGACCTGCTAGTTGGAGAAAAGTTGCGGGGTATAGGCGGACCAGAAGGGGATAGTATGCCTACCTATGGCCCAAAAATCCTTGTTTTTTAGGATTCCTTGCTATAATTCTTTTATTATAACTCTTGAAAGCGTTCCCTACAATTTGTTGAGCTACAGGCAAGTATTCCCCCAACGACTCGGGCCGGAGCCATGACCGGTCTTGCATTTCGAGGCTTAAAATTACGGAACGTAAGCCCAAAAGCCGAATCACCCCAGAGCCCTAATCCCTAAACCCTAAAGCCCGACAATGAAGTTTTAAGCTGTAACGCTTTAACGCTTCAGGGTTTGACGAAGCTACTAAACCCTGTAAAGCACTAGGGGTCCATGTGATCAAATAGTATATACTTTGGCCTTTAAAGTAGTCCCTTATAGGTACTTTGGGGCAAAAGTATATACTATTTGGGCACATGGAGTCTTGGGCCTAAACCCTAAACCCTAAACCGCAAGTCCTAAACCCTAAACCCCAATCCAGGCTTAGCAACTTCTGGGTCTAAAGGCTCCAGCCATCAACCCTTGACGCCCGAACCCTTCAAGCCCTTCGTCCTTCCTCCGCATGTGCTAAACCCTACCTGGACCCCAAATAACCTACCATAACAGGGCTCCTTGTTATTGTTTGATTTCTTTATATATTATACACGTCCTTAAACAAGGTAGGGTATTAGGGTTAAGGTAAACCCTAAACCCCAAGCACGAGACCCTTCCTCAACAGCTGCTGACAGGTACTGCGCGTATTCTTCGAGCTGTGGGAACTCGTCAGAAGCGCCCTGCGCAGTGATTTCGGGGTGTCAGGGCTAGGGCTGGTCCCAAAGAGCCCAAAACCCCTTAAGGAATCTACCTTAAATTATAGGGGCCTTGATATTATGATTTAAGGTAGATATTCATTGATTAAGGGGTATTGCATCCAGAGAGCTATTTCACTCATCGCCTCCTTAAATATGCTTGTATGTTTCCCTGATCCCGGCAAACAGGTTAACCTCAACAAAAATAACTGCTTTGACAATTTGAGGGCTATCAGAAGGAATAGTGTTTCAGCATGTATAGGAAGACCTTGAGGCGGGTGATAGCATCCCGTGAAGTCGGAAACCATAGAGGCTTAGGGTTTAGGTCTAGGGCTAACCACGACAATTAATTTCCTTGGCGTTTCGAGTCTTGTCCCGACAACTTCGCCTCCCCCCTCCCTCCCTGCCTCCCGCCCTCACTCGTTCTCGTACAAACACTGGTGCTCGCAGCTGGTTCTCTAGACTCTGGACGGGAACAAAAAGCCCCTGAACTCTAAACCCCCTGAAGTCCAATATCATGTAGACCCACTCTTGACCAGTTCGTCCGCAAGCCCAACACAAAACGCTTCCTTCGTCTTCCTTCACTACCCGGAGCAGCCAGACATCAAACCCACAACACGCTGACCCCCCAAACCCGAAGCTTCTTGGGCTTACTGTTGATGGACAAAATTCTGCATGACCCAAATATAGTATAGTACCATAAATCCCATAGTTTAGGTTTATAAGGTCATGTAGGATTTTGTCCATCAGCCGTAGTGTGAGTCTGAGTCTGCGGTTTGGGGGTTGTGTTTTTCCGGATATAGGCGATATAGGGCCACCAAAACGATAAATTTATGAAGGGGCTACGCTTTCAAGCGAGCTTCTCTGCGGTTTGGGGGTTGTGTTTTTTTATCGGATATCGGCGATATCATTGTAGGGTCACCAAACGATACATTTGAAAGGGGCTATGCTTTCAAGCGAGCTTCTGGCAAACACGACGTGAGCCGCAGAAACACGCTTACTCTCAGTCTCACCTTTCTCAAGGGATTCTGATCAGCAGAAAGCAGAAGGTCCGGCAGCCCTTTAAGCCCTGCTCGCCCTATAAAGTATAGCCCTTGTAGACCCCGTTTTTCGAGCCCTGTAAAGGAGACCCTATTCCAATTAGCACCAGTGGCTCCAACAACGTATTGCTTCATAGGTTATCCCTCCATGATAATGGGATCATGACTTACTATTGTGTAAGGTTTGGGGCTACGGGTAAGCCCAAAAAACAAAACTGCAAAATCCTAAACTCCGTTCCCTTTCAGACCCCCTGCCTACGAGCTCTTCAAAAGAGACCCTATTCTAACTAGACCCAAAACCCTAAACCCTAATCTAACTATCAAAGCTCCTATATCAGGCCTGGAAAAGGTTGAGGGTGTAGGGTTTAGGGATATAGAGTTATAGGGTTTAGGGTTTAGGGTTCAGGCCTGGAATAGGTCCCTGAGCTCCGTCAAGGTGAGGTCTTTTGAGTTGTCCAGGTCTGCAGCTTGGAACAGCCTCGGGGCATACTTGGGTTCTTTTAAGGGTTCTATAGGGGGTTTAAGGTTCCTTTAAGGGTTCCGTTAAGGGTTCCTTTGGTTCCTTTAACTGTTCTATAGGGGTTTAGGGTTTAAGGTTTACTTGGAGGTTCGTGGGTAGTTATAGGTGGAGTTATAAGTCCCCCTACTTAAGGTTATAATTATATGGGTTCTATAGAGTTATGGGTTTAGGGGTAGCTAGAAGCGGAGTTGTAACTAGGGTTACTATAGTTATAGCCCATATAGTTATAGCCCATATTAGGGGACTTATAACCCCACGTATAACTACCCATGAACCTCCTTTTCAAGGGGTTCATAAGGAAGCCCTAAGCCCTAAACCCTAAATAAGGCTTTAGAGCTCCTTCACACAAATTCATAGGGTTTAGGGTTTAGGATGTAGGGCTCCTTTAAAGGATTCATAGGCTTTAGGGTTTAGGATGTAGGACGCCTTTCATAGGGTTTAGGGTTTTAGGGTTCATATAGACGGATTCATAGGACTCCTTTAAGAGTTCTACAGGAGGCCTGTAGGGGCTAAGGTTTGGAGCTTAGGGTTCCCAGACCCCCGGGCGGATCTAGAAAGTAGAACCCCCAAGTTGGGACCCTATACTACTAAAGGCTCTTTATAGGAACCCCCCATTAAGGGATCTACNNTTTTGGATCCTCCCGCGGTCTGGGTTTAGACTCGGAGGACCCGACCCTGCTATACCGGGCAGGGGCTGTTCGAGAGGGCTCTAAGAGGGACTTGGCGGCACGGGCTCTTCGAGAGGGCTTAAAGCAGGTATAAGGATTATAAAGTCGAGTAAGTTTAGATAATGTCAACCCAACTCCCACAACATAATTAGAACCCCCCCCCCCCCCCCCNNTTCCCAGAACGTAATTAGAAACCCCCCGTATTTGCAGAATCCAAGTGGCCGGAGTGGAAAAGGTTGCGTAGATAGATTTCCCGAAACCCTAAAACCCTAAGACCCTAAACCCTATATACCCTAAAACCCTAAGACCCTAAACCCTAAACCCTAACCCCTAAACCCCGTATACCCGACAAGCTCAAAGGAGCTGAAAAGGCTTCAAGGCTCCTGGGGTTCTCATGGGCCCTAAGCCGGGCTGTGACACTTCTGGCTTCTGGACTCGGGTTTAGGGTTTAGGGGTTTAGGGGTTTAGGGGTTTAGGGGTTTAGGGTTAAGGATTTAGGGTTCAGGGCTTGGGGTTTAGGGTTTGGGGCTTCTGGACTCTAAACAAGCTTCTGGAAGCTTTGGGGGCCGCTAAAAGGCTCCAAACAGCTTCTCAAGTGCTTCCAACACACTTCTGGGGGCGTTTGGAGGCGTTTTTTAAACAAGCTGAAGGCTGCGGGGGCCTTTGTCTGCATCCCGACTCTTATTACGGAGGCTGGGGCTGCGGGGGGAGGCCTTTCTAAATATGAAGTGAAAACTCATTATTAACCGATGTTGGAACCTGCACTTGAATCCTAAACCATATCATCCAACCAGTCAGCCCTAGACCAATAAACTCCAAACCTCGTCAGCGCAGACGAGCAGCGAGTCCGCGTAGGGCGACGTTCGCTCGTGCCGCACGCTTGCGGCATCGCCCAGAGCCTCAATAGTCGGGTTGCACGGCCTTGCCTTACCCTGTTAAATAGGGTTTGTGGTTGAGGGTTTAGGGCTTGCCACGTGGGCGGTAGTATCATGCGACAAGGCTGTGTCGCATGCATCGTACTATGGCGATGAGCTGTGAAAGCCTGTCTATAGAAGGCTTTTCCTCCACCGAACGCCGTATGAGGCGGCCAACCACCCAAACCTCTTCCTTTTAGGATTTAAGCCTAAGCTCATGCCAAAACGCGCTGTCTTGCTTTTGATCCCGCCGGTGCGAGGCGGGCTGGCATATAGCTTTGGCGAAGCTTGCGAGGGGCGCAAGCGCCGCGCGCCCACAGTAGGTGGGCGGGATAGGCCTTGAGTTTAGTGTTTAGCCTAAATGGTGGATACTGGATTACATAAAAAGGGCTAGTAACCTACAATTTAGGTACATGGAGCTCTGAAGTAAGGGAATTATTTAATTCGTGAAGGTGTTGGGGCATTCGGTCTGTAGGCTTCTGGATTTCTCGTGACCTGCCAATGCTTCTTCTTCCTGAAGCACGCAGGTTGTTCATCGTTTTCATCATTGACTTCAGGTACCACCGTTCTTATAGTTGCGGCATTTTTGCCATAATCGCTAATGATAGGACTTGCAACTACTACCGAATAGTATCTGACATTTACACCTTTCTGCTACGACGACGACTACTAGTATTGCTGTCTATAACAATATGAACTGCATAATGATAAAGCCAGTGAGTAATTGCGAGTATCCACCCTGTTGGAAAGTCGGAGAGTATAGCCAGTACTTGCCAGTGACCAGGGGTGGCAACTCCTAGTAGTCGGGTTGCTCTTCCAATAGATAGTACTCTTCCCCGATCGCAGTTGCCCAAAACGCTGCGCCTCAATTATGCCCCAAACCCTAATCCTAAACCCTAAACCTCAAGCCCCAAACCCTAAATCCTAAATCCTAAACCCTAAGCCCCAAACCCCAACCCCTAAATCCTAAACCCTAAACCCCCCCCAAACCCCAAACCCTAAATCTCAAACCCTAAACCCCAAACCCTAGACCCTAAACCCTAAACCCCTGCAAACCCTAAACCCGAAGACTCGAGGGCCTCATTCTAAACCCGAAGCGGCTTGCGGTCCAAGGGGCATAGATGGATCCGCCACTGCCGCGAACCTGGACCCCACTGGGTTCAGGGTTTAGGGTTTTGGGGGTTCAGGGTTTAGGGTTCAGGGTTTAGGGGTTTAGGGCTCAGGGTTTAGATTTCACGGGCAGTTAGAAGATCAGGGTTCCTCGGGTTTAGGGTTTAAGGTTTAGGGCCTACTTGAAGGTTCAGGGTTAGAAGTGGGGTTGTTTTTCTACAGGGTTTAGGGTTTAAGGTTTAGGGTCTACTTGAAGGTTCAGGGGTAGTTAGAAGTTAGAAGTGCGGTTATAAAGTAGGGTATCCGTGATTACATAACCCATACTCGGCGACTTATAACCCCACCTAGAACCACCGCAACCCTAGCCATAAATCAGATAGAACCCTAAACCCTAAGCCTAAACCCTATAGAACCCTTACACCAACCCTCTTTCCCCATATGAACAACCCATGAACCTCCAAGTAGGGTTTGGGCGGTCTCAAGTTCAGGGCTTCCCCAAGGGATCCATGTACCCAGGAAGGATACGCCTGAAAGGGGTGGGGTTCCGACATAGGTACTTGGAGGTCTAAGTATATACCATGGACCTTGGAGTTTTGGGCTTAAGACTTGGGCCGGAAGTTGTTTTGCCTACTTCCCCAATAAGCCACAAAAAACAGGCTGAACTTTCAGATTACTACGAAACTACAAGAGCCCAAAAAGTTTAAAGGTTGGGTAGTGGAGAACTAAGTTTTTACAGAAAGGAAGATGAAGGAGGCAACCCTTGGCTCTATACGTCCTAAGTCACACAGCCTGAACCCTGAATCCTAAGATCCAAACCCGAAACCGTAAAACTATGAAGTTAATCCTAAGACCCAAACCTAGAACCCTAAACCTATGAAGTTGAAGTCAATCCTAAGACCCAAGCTTGAAAACCTAAACCTACTAAGTTGAAGTTGTAAAGGGACATTACGTTGTGCCCGCCGAGTGTGCTAGAAGTCCTCCAGCCTCGCACTGTGTATCCAAACCCCGTCATGCTATACCCTAGCTTAATTGCAGATAATCTATACGAATTTAAGGGCTCGTTCAACGAAATCACACCAAACCTAACAAGGTAAATCTTAGACCCTGAACCTGAACCGTAAACCCGAGAAATCACCAAAAAAGGAACCCTAACAAGGTAGGTTCTTTGGGGTCCAGGTAGCCCCTAAACCCTAAAGCGTCATCCTCAAAGAAAAAATTGAGCTGCAGAAGACAAGCCCTAGACTCCCAAACCCTGGATTTGCCGTTTAGGGCTTCTAGGGTTTAGGGCTTACCTTAACCTCTAATAACCTACCAATTCACGGACTTATAACCTATATAAAGAGATCATAGTAAGGAACCCTAAAAAGCTAGGTTGTTTGGGGTCCAGGTAAGCGTTTAGGGTCTATAGCTTGCAGACTTCTAGATTCTAGATTGGGAGTTCAATAGTTTGTCTAAGTTTTCGGGGAGGGAGAGTTAATCAGCATGTGCGGCAGATGACTCTTTTCCGGTGCAAGAGAAGGCTAGTGCACTAAGGCGTTGGAGTGTAGAGGGTTTAGGACGGCAAGTGGCTGTATTTCCGTGCAAGCCCTGGGACTGTGCAGGGATTACCTTCATGACGCGTGCAGTAATGATCCGCTAGAGATCTAGTAGCCAGCCATATTTGCTTGACCCAGTTCCCGTGCACCTGGAGCCAGTCGTCGGTGATGATGCCGTTGGCTGGCGTCTTGAGGATATTCCTCAAACTTGTGGGCTTGTGGGATTGAAGTTGGCCCTTTCGGGTTCCGGGCCTGCAACACTGCTAAACCCTAAACCCTAAACCCTAAACCCAATTCCTAAACAGGCCATTCGGAACTGGAATCACGCGACACGGAAAGACCACACTCTTCGACCTTGAACCTTCAATCGTGCTGCCGCTAAAACTTCAGACACGGTGTAGGGCTTAGGGGGATTAGGATTTAGGGTTTAGGGCTTCAGATGCAGATCCGAAAGAGGTGGTCTGCACTCTACACCTGGAACCAATCCTACCCCAACTAACCGTGTAAGAGGCTTCACAGAGTGCTCTGCATTTAGGAGCGTGGTCCTAAGCTTCGGTTGGATACCCATAAAAGGTTGTAGCCGTAATCCGCAACAATGAGGCAGTTGTGTTCCTGCATGTGCCAACCGGGGTCTAAGTCTAAATCGTCCGAGCACAAGGTCTATTATGCAAACAAGACCGCATCGAGCACTGGATCATGCCAACTGAGCACGAAACAGTGAACTAACCTGTTGCTACCGATGCTGCCCAAGACACACGTTTGAATCCGAAACACCCTCATTGAGCTTGATGAGGGAGTCCTTGAGCAGCACGGAATCACGGCAGCAGGGGGAGGCTTTGTGCTAGAACTCCCCCGCCCTAAACCCTAAACCCTAAACCCTAAACCCTAAACCCTAAACTCTAAACTCTAAACCCTAAACCCCACCGAGCCTTTTAGATCAGTGGGGTCGAGGGCCCTTTTTGGTCTCCGAGGCTGCGACAGGCAGCTTTTCCAAAGCCTATAGGACCATAAGCCATACTGTTGATGATAGAAATCCTGCATTACCTAGGATCCCTAGTGCAAGTATGGGAATTATGATATAATCCGTACCATGGGTGATGCAGGATTTATATCATCAACCGTACCATATTGATTATGTCATGAACCCTAAACCCAAGCCCGAACACCCTGATCAAATGCCTGAAGCCTACACCCACAACCATAAACCTAAACACTAAAGCCTACTTCCCCCTTGGACCGAAGTCGTCAAGGATCTTTCAGCTGGTTAGTCAGCTCGTTCTGGCGAATTCCTGCTGCCCACACGACACCTGGGAGCTTGTGTGTGATTTGGGTTTGGGGTTTAGGGTTCAGGGGCCATCCAAAATCCAAGGGTCCTAGAGAAGAAGCTAGCTTTTGGCTGTTTGCGGGGGAACAAGGAATTTGGAACCAGAGCTGAACATAAACCCTAAACCCTAAACCTTGAAACCATAATTGGAGGTCCTTCGGGTGGGAGGGTGTAGGCTTTAGGGTTTAAGGTTAAGCTCACAACCGGAATCTTCTGTCGAACTACAATGGACTACACATCGGGCATGTGCAAAAAACTGCAACATCGAGGGCTTGCCTATGTCAACTTTAAACCGTATATGGACCCCGAAGTGGTAACCATAGAGACCTAAAATAGCGCAACAATGCAGTCTTCATGGACTTGACCTTATTCAATCGCCCCAATGTGAGTAAGTACACGGTCTACAAACCCTGCGTAGGTTGCGTCCGCAAGTTCAGCCGAGCGGCATCCGTACTCGAGAGCCCTTAGCTGCGAATTGAGCCGCACCCACCGAAAGCTGGACACAAAAGAATGCCCTGAACCCGAAACCCAAAGGCCACAAATATATAGGAGATTGGGGCCCAAGCGCCATGATGTTCAAGATCGCTGGACCTGTTTGGACTTCTAGTCATAGTATCTGTCCAGCAAGATCTAAACCCGAAATCCTGCAAGATCTTGACAGCCACTCAGCCTAAAAGCAGGAAGTCGAAGAGCCCCATTCCCTTCGCTACGCCCTCCAGAACATGAAGTGGAGCCTTAGATATTCAGCCCTAAACTCCCTACACACTTAACCCTTAACCCCATCAGATATCGACACAAACAGCTTGTTGCTGAGGAGGCTGCACAGCCTCTCCATCCTTCTTCTTCATCTGGATCTCCTCGGAAAGCAGCTTGCAAGAGTCGACGCCGTCTCATGTAGGGGCCTTAAGAATTTTAATAGGGTTTGCAGTATAGTATACTATAATGAGTATAATCATAATAAGGAACCCCAAAACCCTATTCTAACTATTAAGGCCCCTACACTAGGCATTAGCAAAACCCTAAACCGTCAAACGCTGAGACTAGCAGTGATCAGCAAGTCACGCGAAGCGAGCAGATGATAACAGTGTCGGTACGATGCGGATTGATAGTCCTACACACTAAATTGTAAAGTTTAAAGCCCTAGAAGATCTACATGTGTATATATATATATATTCATATATACATACACACACACACACCCTACAACTCAACAATCTTCGCCGCTGCAAAGATTCCTTCTTGGTAATCTCGGTGACGCGGTATCCTGCCAGGACCTCCACGCCTGCGCGGCAACTTCACACGAATCACAGATCGAAACCCTCTTTGATGACCTAGGGTTAGTTCAGTATATACTTGGAGGTTCATGGGTAGTTATAGGTGGGGTTATAAGTAGGGTAACTATGATTATAACCCAAATTGCAGGACTTGCAACCCCACTTAAAGCTACCCTAAACACTAAACCCTCTAGAACCCTCAAAGGAACCCTATAACCCATATTGCAGGACTTATAACTCCACTTAACTCCAAGTACAGGGCTCCTTTTAAGGGTTCCAGAGGGGCGCTTTTTCATGGGTTCCTGTAAAGGGATCTATATTAATATGGCTCCTTTTATGGGGTCTGAAGGGGGGTCCCTGTAGGGCGTCTCTGTAGGGCGTCTCTACTTGGAGGATCATGGGACTTAGTAAGTAGGTTATAAGTACCTTAAGTGGGGTTATAAATGAATATAAGTATGGTCACCTTAGTTATAACCCTAGTTACTAAGTCCCATGATCCTCTAAGTAGTGGATGCCTTCGAAATGTGGGACCGCAGTGTGGGATCTCGCAGCAGCGTTTCCGAGGCTTTCGGACTTCGGGATTTAGGGTTTAGGGGTTTAGGATTTAGGGTTTGGGGTTGAATTAGGGTTTAGGGTTTAGGCAGCTTCTGCCTGAACAACTAATGTAGGGGCCTTAAAAATTGGAAGAGGGTTTTGGGGGTGCCTTTAAAGGGTTCCTTAAAGGGTTCTACCAGGGATATACCATAAGGGTTTAGGGTATAGGGTTCTTAATAACTAGAATAGGGTTTGGGGGGTATAATATACCATGACTATAATAAGGAACCCCCCCACCCAACATCGTATTGGTAACTATTTGGGCTCCTATAGGAAACGGTAAGCACCTTTCTCCTCGAAGATCTCGATGCATTTCTGCGAGATGCCGCGGTCGTAGGTGGACAGCAGGAAGTCCCCTGAAAGCTTTTTGGCCACCCTAAACCCTAAACCCTAGACCCTAAACCCGAAGGCTACAGCGGCGACACCTCAAACCTTTGCCGTCAACGGCGAGCTTTGGATCTTACTCACACCTTTGCATGATGCCTTACCCCAGTAGCCTCAATCCTTAAGAGGAATGTATACGGAATCCCAGCACCAGTTGCCCTGAATCCGGATTCCAACATTTTTTGGGGCCTACTTTTAGGGTTTAGGGTTTAGAATTTAGGGTTTTAGGGTTTAGGGTTGACCAACGGAGGATCATCTACACGAGGAGAGGATCCCTGATCGTTTCGAGCTTCGGGCTCCAGGTCCTTTAAACCCCGGGGTTCCGGGGTTTGGGGCATGTGCCAAACGGAACAACCGGATGCTTCTGGGCTTTAGCATGTCCGTTGAGGTGGAAACGCAACACTCCCCTTCAAGAGCAAGGAAAGGGACTCCTGTCGCCCACACCCACGGCCACAAACCACAAAGCCATAACATAGAGGCCTTAGTAACTAGAACACGGTTTTAGGGGTACATTATAACATACTAAGGAACCCCCAAAATAGTATACGGTAAATATGTAGGCCCCTACATTACACCTATCCCGCCTAAACAACCCTCAAGCCCCCTAAAGCCGTGGATGGGCGCCTGTGTTCACGAGCTTTACCTTGACGTAGTCCATGAGCTTGGGGTAGAGCTCCTGAGTGTGGGCTGGGTTTAGGGTTTAGGGTTTAGGGTTTAGGGTTTCGGGTTTTGGGTTTAGGGTTTCGGGTTTAGGGATGCCCAGCAGACCCTGACGTTGAAGTTGATTTGGTTTAGAGTTTAGGTTTTAGGGTTGATTGGTGAACATGGTTGTAGGATTGTAGGTGGGAGGTCTTATATGCCTTAAGCGGCTTTGAATGGAAGTCAACATAGCAAGGAACAGTTGGAACAATTCAGCCTGCCCCAAACCCAAACCGTAAGATCCTAAGGACGCATACTGGGAGGCGGCTGGGCCCAACGATTTTACTGTCGATGTCATCGATGGCTATGTGAAGCCTGAGCGTATGCCCAAAACCTTGTGTTCTGAACCCTACTGAAACCCTGAACCCTAAAACCTTAAACCCCTAAGCCCAAACCCTATACCCCATGCCCCTAAAGGAGCCCTTGAAGGAGTCCCTATAGATCCCTTAAAGGAACTCCATGTTAGACACGAGTGAGCCACCGCTGCATCACCAGTGATGAAATCTGCCATGTCGGCGGCCACCTTGTCTCCGCGACTCTAAAACCCCTTAATTAAGGAATCGACCTCAAATTAAGGGTTCTTTACAGGGATCTATAAGGTTTCTATAAGGGCACTATACGAATTCAAGAACCTACCTTAAACCGTATTAGGCTTTTCACTATAGTTTAAGGTATACTCCTTGTTATTTAAAGGCTTTTAGAGTCTCTGGGTTTTGCTGTACGCCAAAGGCAACATGCACGACACAGGAGCAGGAACGCCGCAGTTGAAAAAGCAAGATGGAACGACTATTCTGCCATTGATCAGAAAACCCTAAACAGAAGATGAGGGAATGTATCGAAGTACTCTTGCGCATTATCGAAGCTCCCAGTTACATACGATTTGAGGGCTTAATATCCACTCCTAGTCCCTATCTAGCGATATTGTGTGCAATATATGCCAAAACCCAACACCAGGTTCTAAATATTAATACCCCTTACCATGAACCGACAGAACTCTATACGAGCCTTATCAAACCTTACAACACTCTTTCAAACCCTGCTATGTTTCTGTTCTTAGTGTCGATAGTGTAGAGGGGCGCCTATATTGCTCACCGAACCCCTGCCTCCTTCCCTCTTGCCTAGCATGTGATTCTTCAGGTAGGCCAGCGAGGGCTCGTTTTTTCTATAACGTCGTGAAAGGGCACTATAGGGTTGCTTTAATGTATGATGGAAGTCTTCGCGACATGACTGTCGCAAAGCAGGCGATGAAACAAAGCCGGGGCATAAACTGAGAATCGCATCACACGATTTTACCTCATTGAACTGACACGTAGCATATGACTTGGTACTTAATGTAGGGGCCTTAATATTTAGAATAGGGTTTTGGGGTATATCATACTACAATTGTTAGAATACGGAAACCACCAAAACAATAATATATATATATATATATATATATGTATTAAATATATAAGTAACTATTTGGGCCCCTACATTATGACTTGGTACTTAAACCATTGACTTCATAGCCTGAGAAGAACGAGTGAAGTCGCAACCCAGTAAGGCAGAAAGATGCCTCCACTCCTGTGGGACCGCCGCCAACCACCCTGGGCAAGAAACGACTCATCTGAGCACAGCAAACAGAGCTATATAAGGGCACTGACTGTGACATGTCCCTATACCCTAAACCGTTTGTGTGGCGTTAGGTCTTCGTGGGCCAAGACACCAAAACTCCAATGGAATGGAAGGCAAATGGAAGATACTCTCGGTTTAGGGTTTAGGGTGTAGTGCAATTCTTGCAGAGAGTTTTGAGTTATACGTCATGTAGGTTGTTACTTAACCATCAACAAACGTTTCTACCCGAAGGACTTGACGCATTCTCCGAGGCCAGGGACAGTCTAGATGTTGCATGCAAGATGCGCGCGCTTGTAGCTTGTAAATCTAGAGATTTCAATTTCTGCCGGAAACCCTGTCCCCATCATGGTCCCCATCCATCATGCTGGGATCTCTTGCTGGGGGCCCTACTACTCTTAAGAAAAGCTCCGGCCCTGCCTAAAACTGCTGAAGAGATGTAGGTAAGTCACCCCTAGCTGGCAGCCACCCCTCACACCGTAACCCAAAAACCTCAAACCCCTACACCCCTGACCTTATCAAACTCTGCAAAATAGTAGGTTATGACACCTGAATCAAACTTAGAGGATAAAGCCCTTAAGACGGTATGGTTTTTGGTTCCAAAGGTACGCACTAAGCCATAAACACAGAAAGCAGCCAAGGAGCACGAAGCTGAGCCACCTGCATGCAGTACTTAAAGGATCATGGGACTTAGTAAGTAGGGTTATAACTAAGGTAACTATACTTATAACCCCAATTAGGGGACTTATAACCTTACTTACTAAGTCCCATGAACCTCCAAGTACAGGCTTACGACTTAGAGGCGCCCCCCTACCTGTAGCTTACAAGCCCTAGCTTTTTGAGGGCTCCTCTTAAACTGGTTTCTTCATATCTAAGTCCTTAAAACGGTACATAAACACTTGACAGGACGGAAGCCATGGAATTAAGTGGCATCTCTGACATACCGTATCTACAGATGTACAAGAAAGATTTCTGGTTGATGTGACGTAGCGTCGTCGCATCGCTCGCTGGGTAATTTCAAATGGTCACACCCCAAACCTTAAACCCGAACCCTCGACCTCACCACATTTCAGGGCTTGGCATTTTGAGTCTTAGAACTAGGCTGAAAACCTAGACGGGTTTGTAGACCTTTCAGTAGGGTGCCAGTACTATTTTGCGGACATATAAGGGGAGCCTAATTTAGAGAATTACTCATCTGCTCCTTCTTCTCCCTGTCAAAAGCGCTCTGCTGCAGGAATCGATGACAAATCCTACATGCCTTGAGCGAGGAGTGGAGGCAACATTACCCAGAGGGTCCATATACACTAGTATTTTGGAATTAAGTCCCAAGAGAATACTTATATACTATGGTTTGGGGGCATAATTCCATAATGGTAGTGTATATGGACCCTCTGGGTTAGGAGTGACGAGGCCCTCAATAGTCTAAGCCAGGTGCGAGTTAACCCTAAACCCTAAACCCTAAACCCTAAACCCTAAACCCTAAACGAAGGAGGAGCCTCATATACCAGGACCCTCCTTGTAACCTCAAATGGGTGGTTGTCAAAATTATGGTCCCTTTTTGGGTCCTTATTATAATACGGCACCTATTATTTAGGGTACCCCAAAAGGGACCCTAATTTTGACAACTACCCAAATAAGGGTACATGGTCCCAAATCATGGGTATTTAGGGTCTAAAAGAGGATAGATAGAGGGTCTAGGCAAATCCCAAATACTAGGATCCTGAGTGCAAGGATTCCTAAAACAGGCCCAAGTCTCCGCAACAAAATCCTACACTCCGACGCCAAAGCACACGTGAGAACCTGCAAGGGCGAAACAGAATAAGTGCCCTTACAGTAGCAGTTTAGGGTTTAGGGTATGGCAGCCCGTTGCGGTTAGACAAACACTTGCCGAAATTATAGTAACCCTTTCGGTGACCTTACCATAACAGGGTCGAGCCATTCAGTCGGCGACTGCCAAAGCCTAAACCCTAAACCCGCGAAGAGCCAAACATCGATAGATTTAGGGTTTGGTGTTTAGGTTTAGGCTTTAGGGTTTACGGTTGAGGGGTTCAGGGCTTAAGGTTTAGGGTTTGGACCGGTTTGGGGCTTAGGGCACCCTCCAAACACGCACGAAGACTAGGAAGAGCTTATCACCCCGTCAAGCACTCGTTGACAAACACCCCAAACCCGTAAACCTTCATGCCCAACCTTTTATACCTTAGACCCTAGAAGACCTTAAACCCAAAGGCCCTAAGACATACATGGATCTCCGCACCTCTTCTTCTGCGTTTCCGTGGATGTGGGCAAGGATGCCCTACCAGCAGCGAAAAGGTGCTTGTCACAGGCCCCTTCTGGGCTTGAAGATCATGCTCCCAAACTTTTTGGGCTTTTTGAGCCCTTCGTGTTTGCACGTGGAGTCGGGTTTCGGTTTCAGTCGCGGGATTACGGATTTGGATGTCTAAGGTCATGCTGCAGCTGAAGCCCGTGAAACTCAAACCCAAAGACCCTCATTCTCGCCTGGAGGCTTCAGCTACCTAATACGACGAGAAGTATTGTCACGAGTGCACAACTGCAAAGTCAACAGGGTCGTTACTAGTTTGCCATCATCGTTATCAATCTTCCGCAACTATGCACTATACACAGTGATCATAAAGTAGTCTTCTAGCTTCCTGTCGAAACAGCAGACCAACATCCCTAAACGCTAAATCCCTAAGCACTAAACCCTAAATCCCTAAACCCTAAATCCCTACACCCTTAACCCAAAATCCCCAAACCCCAAAGCCTAAACCCTAAAATATCCTTAAACCCCTAAATCCACCCTAAACCCATTCAGGTATCAAACATGGAGCGACAGACTGGTGGAGGAGATATGACCGAACTTTAGCCTTTGAGGGTTGAGGGTTTAGGGTTTAGGGGTTTAGGGTTTAGCCTTTGAGGGTTTAGGGTTTAGCCTTTGAGGTCTAGGGTGTAGGGTTTAGACCCCAAACCCTGTCATATGGGGACCTGTCTAAGAAACCTCAGTCTTTCTCAAGATTCCGTATATGAAACCTGATATATTGGGGTTATAGGGCCAGGGTTTCTTAATCAGGTTACTACATTAACCCTAAACCGCAAACACTTTTGAGCTCTTTGTCAACCAAAGTCAACATTGCCTTGTTGATTGCTCTTCAGGGATGGAGAACCACAGCGACCGAAAGAAACACCAAACAAGGAAACCACAGGACAGTGCTGGTTGGACAGAAGGCCCCTAATTCCTAAACCCTATAAACCCTACCAGAAGGCCCCCCCTTACCGCCGGAGACTCCCAAAAGTCCAAAAGTTTAAAATCTTAACTCCAGAGTGCCTCTTACGAGTTTCTTTGCAATTCAC